CTCCTATAGCATTGAGTTTTAACCTGTAACTATGTCTTCCATTCGAACTGCTACTTCTCTTTAACATGGAATAATACTCTCTCTTCAATCCAATTTCCAAATCTGATGGAGATGTGGGAGTTGTCTTACACTTGCTGAAGAGTAGGACTCTGATACACTGGTGGGAATGGAAATTAGCATAGCCAATGTGGAGGACAACATAGAATTTTCTCAAAAACCCCTAAAAAATAGAGCTACTATATGATCCAGCTATCCTAGTACTGGGTATATCTCCAAAGGAAAGAAAATCAGTGTGCTAAAGAGAATTTAGAGATTTGTTGGACTTTTATAAATTGAGTACAATCTTTTCATCAAACTACCTGTTACAATAAAGAATGACTTTATAAAACTATCTGCAAAAATATAAAAGGTTGCACCAATATAAAAAAGTATGTCAATACATCCATTATGTTTTCCAGTTAACATAGGAATTACCAGATAAATACTGTTAAACTTTTGTTCAGTAACAAGAGTTTATTTATATGGGCAGTATGATTTATTGTTTATTTTTTTAACCAAATACCTCCTCAGTAATTTATAATGGCTTTGCAGTAATGTGTATCAAATAAGCACTGGAAAACGGATTGTCTCTAGGATGATATGCATGTTTCAAGTGGTATTGAAAGCCGCCCTGATGGACATGTAATAATAAACATATCTGTTATTAATATGCTAATGACTCTGCTCATTTAATGAGAAATAAAAGTAATTTATGGATGGATACTTTAAAAAAAATAAAAGGGATACTAGCGTGTCCAGGTTTATTGCACCACTATTCACAACAGACAAGATGTGAAACTAATCTGTGTCATCAGTGGATGAAATAAAAAAATGTGATGTATGTACACAATAGAACACTATTCAATCATAACAAGTAGAATATCCTGTCTTTTGCAACAACATGGTTGAAACAGTAGGGTATTATGTAAAGTGGAATAAGCCAGGCAAACAGAGACAAATGCCACATGTTCTCACTCGGATGTGGAATATAAAAAAGTAGATCTCAGGGCTGAGGATGTAGCTCAGTGGTGCTGTGCTTTCCCAGCAAGTGAAAGGTCCTGAGTTCGATTCCTGGTACCAGAAAAAAAAAAAAGTGACTCTCCAGAAGGACAGAAGAAAATGATATTTACCAGGGGCTGAGTCAGGCAGGGAGAAAGCCAGAGGGCAACATTAGTCAAAGGATAACAAACTTCAGTTAGAAGGAAGAATAAGCTCAAGAGATCTGTTGTACAAAGATAGCTATATGAACAACATATTGAATTCTTGAAAAATGCTAAGAACTGTGAGGCATATTCATTAGCTAAATATAGTCTTTCTACAAATGCCATGCACATATACTTCAAAACATTATGTTGTACATGATAAATATAATTTTGTCCATCAATTTAAATAACAAATAAAAGAAATGGTAAAAAGAAACAAAGTGAAGAGATTATGGCTTTGACTTCTTAGACTTTCAATTAAGTAGACAATTTGACTAAATGCTGAATTTTTATTTAGCATATTGAAAGGAAATTTCCTAAACT